TTGCGCCGCATGAGTTGCCCGTGTTGCTGCAAGAAGTCTTTGGTCTGCGTAGAGAGAGGGCATCCCTCCAACAGGAAAGAGAATAAAAACGCCAAACACGTGCGGTATACCAGCGCGAAAACCAAAGTTAGCCCCCGTGAGTGCAGATATGGTGTTGTTGGGGCCGGGGGTAATACTGGTGCTGAAAGCGTAGCTAATGATGGGTAACAACCAGGTGGCAGGGGGCAGGTAATCTTGCATGATGTGGTTTTATTGTATGGGTTTTTATATTTGTAGGGGCATGGCGTGCCTTGCCCTGCCTTTGCATACATCTGTTCGGTTTATCTCAAACAAAACAATGCAAGGGGTAGCAAGGGCAAGGCACGCCTTGCCCCTACGGGGAATTGGCATATCTGCTTGCGTTTCACTTTGCCTGTACCTCTCGCCCTGTCTCTCTAACTGCCTCTCTTATCGCCTGTGCCAACAATGCAATACCTTGGGCAATTTTTTCCTCATCCACCGTCACAAACGATAGGCGCATAGTGCGCACATCAGGCTGGTTAGCGTAAAACGCAGCCCCTGGCACAAAGGCCACATTCTTTGCTATGGCTTTGGGTAACAGGTTTTGCGCATCCATACCCGGGGGTAGGCGTAGCCACAAAAACATCCCTCCAGCGGGTTTGTTCCACGCCATACCCTGTGCGACAAATTCTGTCATCTCGCATTGCAGCGCATTCAACATAGCTTGACAACGGCTTTTGTACAAGGCACGTATATTGGGCACGTGCTGCGACAAAAAATTTCCTCCATCTTCTTGCAACACCTGCGCGACCATGCGCTGGTTAAAGCCTGGGGTGTGTAAATCTGCCGCTTGCTTGGCCTGCAAGAGCTTGGGAAACACCGCCTTGGGGGCAACCATGTAGCCTAGACGCAGACCTGGTGCCAACACTTTGGAGAAGGAGCCGAGGTAAATCACCCCATTCGGGTTGCGGCTGGCCAGCGGTGCAGGCGGGGGTGCGTCAAACCACAGTTCACCGTAGGGGTTGTCCTCCAGCAGCGGCAGCCGCAGGTTTTGCGCTGCTTGCACCAGGGCTACCCGCCTGGCCTCACCCATGCTGTGCCCGGTGGGGTTTTGAAAGTTGGGCAATACGTAGAGAAAACGCGGGTGGTTCGCCGTGTAGTTTGCTTGCGCTGCTGTGGCTTGTGTTTCCCCCACTGCGGCGTGTAGCGCGTCCAGTTTTACCCCCTCCTCATCAGCGGCTACCCCGCAAACCTGCGGCTGCATGGGGGCAAAGGCTTGCAATGCGCCCAGGTAGGTAGGCTCTTCTACCAGCACGCGGCTACCAGCGTCCAGCAACACCTTGGCTACCAAGTCCAGCCCTTGTTGCGAGCCAGTGGTTATCAATACCTGCTCGGGCGATACCTGCCAAGGCAGCATGGCAGCAACCGCTTCGCGCAGCGGGCCGTAACCTTCGCTGGGGGCGTATTGCAGGGCTGCGCTGCCTTGCTCACGCAACACCCGCTCACTGGCTCTGGCAAACGCCTCTACCGGAAAAGTCTCCGGCGCAGGCAAGCCTCCGGCAAAACTAATCATGCCTGGGCGTTCGATCACCTTCAAAATCTCTCTGAGTACCGAAGGATTCATCGCCGCAGCACGCTGTGATAAGGTCCAATAATTGTGCATTTTTATTCTCTTTCCTGTTGGAGGGATGCCCCCTCTCTACGCAGACCAAAGACTTCTTGCAGCAACACGGGCAACTCATGCGGCGCAATCTGCCTTGTTTGCGACGCCCCATTTTCATAGATAGTCAAGGTGTCGCCCAGCAGAACTTTTCTTCCACGCGCCTGTTGTTGAACAATGAG